GAAAGGGAGGGACCTCCATGACCAGTGTCTGCAGAGCCAGGGGTACAGGTGCCCAGTGCTGTGGCCTGGCACCAGCTGCCTCTCAGAGGGTGGGTGGCACACTGTCCTTACCCAGAGGACAGCAGGCCTGGTCACCAGCTTTTCTACCTGCCCCTGTAAGCATCACCTTGCTGGAGGAGAATTTCATCCCAGAGCTTGGACTGTCCCTAGCTCAGGGGCTAGGGGTTGTCTCTTGGTGACATAAATGAAAAACCAGGTCCAGATCAGAGTTCCTGATGTTGAACACTCATCCATTCTTTGAATCATGGGAGGGGAGGCCTGGTACTAGGTGGGCCTAACCTCTTTGAGGAACCACAGAGCCCAAGGCTGGAAACCTCCAGAATCCTCCACCCCCGATCCTCCCTGGGACCCCTGTGGCCTGTCTCACCGAGCACTCTTCCATCCCTACATGTCTCGGCTGCTCTATGAGGGAGTTCCCTTTCAGGTGTGGGGCTGGGCATGGCCACTCCTGCTGGATGTCTAGATGGTGGAAACCAAGGGCCTAGGGAAATACCAGGTACAGCCTTTCCATGTTCATCCAGTGCAGGACAAACAGGTCAGGTGGTGTCAGGAGCCCAGGTCTCCAGCTGGAGGGAACGTCAACCCTGCAGTGGGAACAGGGGCCCATTGTACATCCTAGGCACAGACACCACAGGTAAACTGGGCTTGGTACCTACCCCTCCCCGGATTCAGAAAGAAGCCAAACAAGGAGCTTTGTGCAGAATGAAGCCTCCTTCCTTCCAGAAGCACTGTTGACTGTTTGGCGGTTGCCATTTGTGGCAGTGAGCCTTTTGTTTATTCTGAGGTTGGGCTGGTTTCTCCTCTTGGCCCTGACCTACAGATTATAAAGGAGAGCAGCAAGAGGTCCCCAGGAAACATCCACAGATGGCATTGGAAATAAGTCACCTTCTGAGAAGCATGTCATGCTCTGGGAGGGCTAAGGCATCAAGTAAGGCCTATGGGGTTGGAAGATCCCTGGGCAGGTGGGGCAATCCACAGCCTTGGGGTCTTCCCATGGGAATCGGGAGGTCCTGAGGCAGAGGCAGTGGTCCCACAGGAGGAGTCACAGAGCCACCAAGGGCTCTCCTGGCCCAGGGAGCAGTCAACACCATGGACTGAACACCTGCTGGGCTCAAAGTCCTGGTCCAGACTGGGGCATGTAGGGCCAGGAGGGATCTCGGAGTGGGAGACAGAGAGACAAGTGTGCTCAGAGGGCACCCGTTTCTGGAAGTAGTGTGGTCCAGAGATTTTGGCTGGGAAGAGCTTCCAGGGTTTCATATGTGTTGTGGAGCTACTTCCTCTCTCCAGCCTCACTCTGCAGGAATGCCAGTGAATATATTGCCGCCACCTTGGAGCTCAGTGCCCTCATAGTGTAATGGCACCAGCAGATCTGCCTGTGCATGGACTTCCTCTACTACCTCATTCCTGAGGAGCAATGCTTCTGCAGGGCCTCTGACTTGGTGCACAACTTCAGACACCATCATCCTGGAGCAGTACCGCACCCTCACTAGCCAGGGTGTTGATGACTTCCTCAAGGCCAAGGCCACGTTCAAGGCTTCGGACTTCATTGATGCACTTGTGCTGAGCAAGGCGGGCTTCTCCGGGACCTTAATTCAGGAGGTAGAATGGAGCTTGGGATCAAGCATCTGATGAAAGAACTTGCACTTGATCTGGAAGGCTCTGGGGAGCCATGGAAGGTGCTGGATAAAGGAGTGACAGATTCGTTTCAGAGATGACTGTAGAAGGCTGCCTAGGAGTGAACAAGAGCCAGGAGGCCAGGGAGGGAGCTTGTGGGGCAGGTCTGGAGATGGCAAGGGAGGGATCCTGCTTGGATGAAAGGTCTTCAGGCACTGTCTCAGGTTACACTCAGGTGCCCTCAGAGCTAGTATGTTCAGAGTCTTGCCTCCAGGATGAAAATGGGAAGGAGTTGTCAGACGAGGACATAGAAATGGAGGCTGGCATATTCATGAGTGCCAGTGGTGGTCCCGGTGTGGGACTACTGTGGGAACAGGGGTCTTTCCATTCAGGGATGTGGTGGATGGACCCTACATCACTCCATTCTGCCCTTCCTTTCCTTCCTCTCATTCTCCCGAAAGCCTCAGTGCGTGGGCGCTGTTCATCCTGTGGTGCTGAAGCAGCCAAGAGTCACAAGCCTGCCTGGCTGCCTCTTAGGATATGACAGCAGAGGCAGTGGCCTCTACTGGATCCTGTACAACTTCACAAAACACCCAGACACCGGGAGTGCTGCCAGCACGTGATGAAACAGTTCTGAGGGATCACAGTCTTGAAGACATTGAATAGTGGGTGCAGGGCCTCATGGCCTGTTCCCCAGCCCCTCTCATTGGCTCTGGTCCAGGTGGTGAAGGGGGAAAATGTTTTTGTCAGTTCTGC